TTATGTGAAGTAGTTTGGCTTCTTATGCCCAAGTAGGGACCTTACTAGAACACTACATCAAGGCCAAGATTGCGAAAAGACCAGACTGCCTGGAAATCGAGAAAAGTGGCCATCAATGGGACAGTGTCCACATTAGGGCACCTTACCCTAGTCCATTGTCATCGATGAAATATTATTCTCTTCCTGCGCACTTGTTGTCAACCGGCATGGCCCTATGTGCTGGACGCGCTAAAAGCTTGTCGATTAGTTGTGCTCTAAAATCTTTAGCGTAACTGTCCACAGAAACTATATTTGTGTCCAGGTCGTCAACAAAGTTGCTGCCTTGCATTGCACATGGTTATTTTTTTGTCAATCAGTTGTTAGCGAGCTCAAAGAGTGAGATTTTTCATTTGCCATGTCCACATTTAAGTTTACACTAAGTAAAGCATATGGGCTTCTTTACCTTATGGTAACTTTAACTTTGAGATGATAAATCTTGACTCTGAACTCTGTGAACTCCCTACCATCTGATTGACCCGAGGAACACCTAGCTGCGCAATAAGTTGTTGACGCGAAACAATTCGAAAGTCAGCATGTTCCTACCTGAAACAAATACAGTGTATGAACTGTTAAATTCCTTTCAAAACAAATCGCTCTGCAATTGCGGAGGAATATTCATGCTTTGTAACCCCAAAAATTTCACTTTGAAAATATTTTGCTTACTGCAAAGCATTGTTACGATTTTGCAAAGAAAATGCTACGTAGTTACGAAGTATCAGAATCCTTTCCAAATCTAGAAAGCCTTGCTTTGCAGAAATTTAACGGAATGAACAGTAGACGCTTATCGGGTTAGTAAGTATCGACAAGGTTTTGGCGTGTCCATGAAGTCGGATCACTCCGGTCAACAACACCAGAGAGAATAAGTAACTAGTTATTTCATGAACTCCAGCAGACGCATTTGATGCTGATGCTCGCCGCATTTTTGTTTTCAAACCCTTCCTTGAGACGCAGAAGCCACCATAGAAGCCGAACGCATCGTCAGCAGCAGTATGAACCCGAGTCAAGAAGTGGAGAATGTACATTGCGATAAGTGCCTGCGGCCCACCAATTTTCGTGTATCATGCAGGGTTGCAATTTTTTTCGCTTTAATTCGTCAAAAATAACCCCTAGCGCCTCAACGGTATAAACTAGAGCAATACGGGCAACATTTTAGGCCACAAGTCTCTACTTTAATGAGTTACCTCTTTCTATAGAAAGCCAAAAGACAGAACAATATTTTTAAAATATTTTTTTTGGGGTCTGTTGTTTTTTATTTTTTTTAAAGTCAAATTTTTGAGCTAGACTGCTTATCTTCAGACTCGATTTGTCTTTTAATGACCCTGGAAATCCCAGGTCTCTAGCTCAATTCGTTCTCGAGTTATCGTGCAGGCAGACGCACAGACAGATAGATACACAGAAAAAGTTTTTTCCGACCAGACGGAGTGATAGGCTACACTAATCGCTTAGCCAAAAATAATTTTCCTTGAGAAAATGACATTAAATTCAACGCAGTATGTTTTACTACTGAGAATCACCCGAACCGACAACACAGCAGTATATGTGAATGGAAAAGAGTGATCCGGCAACAGAAGATGGAGAACGGATCACTCTTTTTCGTTGACATACACTGCTCGATACTGCTTAAGGGATATTTTACGCTGCTGGGTGAGCGTTGTGGTATTTAGCGCGTGTAGGGATGTTTTTTTAACTGAATGGTATGGAATATTACTTTATCCTTCAGGAAGGTAGAAGCGATATATATGTATATCCGTACAAGGCAAAAATAGCACCCCATCAGTATCGGTAGAGGGTCCCCTCCCCCCTCCCCCGCTGTCATTGGTGGGTGAAATTTATTCACCCACGGGAATGTAAATTTATTTACCCTGGTGAGGCAAAGGAGCGTTATGTCCCCAACTGCCCTCGAAATATTTTGCAGTGCACACCAATATGCCTCCCTTTTATTTCGTGAATAGAGTGACTCAGGATATCGGGATAAATTTAAAATACAGTATAAGAGCGAATATGTCCTCTACTAGATGCATTTTAAGCACCTCTTTTATGGTTGCCACAAAACTTTCATTTCCATTTTCCCTGAGTTTTCCCTGATTTCCAGATCATTTCTCCCCAAATTTCCCTGAATTTTGAGCACCCCTGGTGAAGTACTGGGGAAAGAAATATCCCTAACTGCAGGTGCGGTTTTATAGAGGGCGAAGGGGTGATTCCCCCCCCCCCCCAAATCAGCCTAAATCACCCCCCTGGGGTGGGTAGGCAATTTGTCCTACAAAACCCCTGAAAGCAGGCAAACCACCGCCAATCGCTTCTCCGTCAGACGGACTTATAGCCACGCCTGCCTAACTGTAATACAAAACCGCGCGCGAAGCGAGCCCGAAAACTTTTGGGACAAAACACCCTACTGGGACGTAAAAATGTGTATTTGACCTACACAGCTAGTAGACTGCAGTTTGGGGACCAGTCAGACCAAATTTCCCTGCCTTTTTTCCATTTTCCCTGAGTTTTCCCTGATTTCCCTGAGTTTTCCAGGTTTTTAAGGTTTTCCAGAGTTGTGGCAACCATGTCGGTACCTCCTTTCAATATGCGCTTATAATTCATTAGTCTAAACGTAACCGCTCATCACCTCGGGTTCTAAACAGAACCGCTTACCTGCGCGGGTTCTACACAGAACCGCTCATCTGCTCGCGGCCGTGGCGCTGGTTAGGTTAGGTTGCCCCTCATATTTACTACAATATCACCCAACATCGTAGGCTTCTACGGGTTATAGCAGTTTTAATACGGTGTTCCAGTACAGACGAGAGAGTATGTTACATTTTTTGTTTCGAAATTGAAGCTCAGCGCCTTGAAACATCCATTGAAATCTGGGAATCACCCGCCCGTATTTCATAACGATAAGCGGTTCTGCGTAGGACCCGTGCAGATGAGCGGTTCTGTTTAGAGCCCTTAGTAATGAGCGGGTATGTGTGGACTAAAAACAAATGAGCGCATATTGATAGGAGGTACCGATGTCTTTACAAGCTGCATTTAGGCAAATCGACAGGCTTAAATTTGCATCTTATTAATAGAAAACAATGTCCGTCAAAATGATGCAAATTTGTCCATTTGAAGTTGCTGAAATGAATCTGGTCAAGAGGTACTTAAAGATGCATCTTCCTTTCGACAAGAACAGTCGCTCAACAGATACTGGGAATAAAAATCATGTGCTAAATTCCACATCCTACTTAGGTACAACCTAGGTCCATCCCCACTTTGCCTGGTTTGGGCCCGACCTACAAGTCGCTATACACATTTAAGACAGCTATGGTTTCTGGGCGTGCTTTCGGCCCAAATTTGCTCCTTGGACATGAGAGAAGGCTGTAACGGTGTGACACCGTGACTCTTCTGCTTTTAAAAGAAATAAAAAAGTCAAGCGAAGTTTTTAGCTTGTATTGTTTGTCAAACAATCGCAAGATTTGCCTATTTCCCATTGGTTTAAATACACGCACCTCTAGGAGGTGGGGTTGGGTTGCCATACATACCTTCATCTGCTTCGCGAGGGCGAGGTCCTCTGTATATCTATGGTAGTGATCGGCAGCCACCTCTGCATTCTCCGGAAACAATGTGTTTCCTGGCACGTGTTGGACCCAGTCTATGATGCTTTCGGCTTTACCTGCATTTTGTAAAGAAAAACACGGGATAAAGAACCTTTCGATTTAAGACCCTATACACTGATAAATATTCTCGCAAGTTTAAATGGTTTTGAGTAATTTTCATTTACATAATGTGGTGTAAATACGCCACAGCCTCTTCTTGCTTACGTTCACGACATTTCTCGTAACTTTATGGAAATGTTCGTATTCTTACGGAAGAAGTCGTAACTTTACGATAAATTTCCAACTTTTCTGGAAAATGTTAAAACTTACTAACAAATTTTGGAAATAGTTTCTATTTATGCGATTCGTAATTTTATGACTTTTTTCGTTGCATTATGAAAAATGTTGTATTATTACAACAAAGAATAATCTTGATGATATCATCAATAGAAATTCCAAATTTGTTGTTAATTCGTACCTTTACAAATCAATATCGTTATCATAATTTGTAAAATTTGTCGTAATTTCAGAACATTTTTCTCACACAGCTAATAAGATAAGAGTTATAACTTTATTAACAGTTGCCAACGTTAATGCGAAATTAAGTGTTAGGTTATGGTGCGAGCCAGAGAGTGCCCGGGAACAGGCGCCACTAACTGGCACCTGGCGGGAGTTCACAAATCTAAACAGGCAGACATCACTGCCGTTCTCCGGGCAGCTACCAATGCGCTTGTTTTTCGGCCCTCTGAGTTCCGCTGTCTGTACTCACTGACCGGAATCGAGCCTGTTTATTTTTTGACGCAATGGCTTCGTATGGTCTCAAAACCCAATCATAAAACTATAACATATTAATAATGGCGAATTTTCTTACCGTATTTGTCCCATGCCCCTTCGGCCTGACAGGCAGACAGCCCAGCTCCAAGGAGGACATTTTTCGGCCAGATGTCCTGCAGATAATTGCTAAAAGTTAAGCCTTGGAAGAGATAGATAGGAGTATCCTACAGGGCCATGGAACATTGCCTTATCCGATATTTTTTGCCGTCAGCACGGTACCCTGGACACTAAAAAGGGCAAAGGTGGTGGCAACCCAGAGCAGTGTAAACAGGCAAGTGCAAAGCAGTATACGAAGGCACAGAGGGCTGAAAAGAAGGCTGATTAGTCAAGTCACACTTGTTAAAAAACCTGAAAATGCAGACTAACTTTTTCAGACTTTACTGTCTGGATGGGGTTTAGCGGGAACCGTCTGTTGGTTTTTTTGTCCATCATTAAGATGCAAATTCCTCACTTGGTACATTCAAATCTGCACCTGGTTGAGATGTGCACAAAAACGCGTCTTTCTAAGGACAAGAAAAGTCCTTTCAGAGACCCCTCGTGTGAAGGCATAGCGATTTCCGTTTTCTTCTTCCCCGTATTCTGCTGCATTACAGCTTAACCGGAATGCTTTATGGACGACTTGCCCAGAGTGGCGGAGCGTAGCGCAAAGGAGAAGGGCTGCTGATTGGGGGAACCAAAACAAAGTACAAGGAGACAAAATATCGCGGAAATATTTATTGAAATCGACTCGGCAGGTATGAAAACGGAGATACTCTTATAAAAATATTCTGTATAGAAATCAGTCCGATTTTCGGACAGTCCGAGACGACATCCCGGACCTTGCCGAGAATACTACCGAAAATGTGTCAAATCAGCAAGTTTTCGGACTGTCCGAAGGCCGCGACCGGGCGTCTATCGGACTGTCCGATGCCCGTGCCCGGACGTCTTTCGGACTAGTCCGATTGGTCCAACCGGCTTAAAAAAAGGCTGTAAGAGCGGGATTCGTTCCCTCACCTGTCGGTCATCGGGACCCTTGACCGACGCTCTTACCAACTGAGCTACGCTGACGGCTGAGAAGAGGAGAAACAGGAGAGCCTCTTTAGCTGGGCTCAGAATCTCTTCCGAGACGAGCGCTATACACAACGAACGAATCAGCGCATAGTCATGCGGTTTTCGGCAAATGCTTTTGCATCCCACGAAATGTTCTGTTCAGGTCATGATGAACGACCTTTTTAAAAAATAAAATATGCCTGTTTAGTTAACTCAAATTTAAAGAGTCAAATTGCCCGCACAAAATAAACTAAAATTTTGTCCGATAATTTTCCTGGTGCTTTCAGTGCTCAGCAGAAAGTTGAATATGCGAAAACATTGTATGAATATATAGTTTGCCAATTTTCACAAAAAATGTACAAGTCTTTTGTGTTTAAACAGCTCGAGACCGTCCTGTGACGACCTGGGTTGATAGTCGGACTGTCTTCGGACGGTCCGGACCGGACTACCGGACTAATTAGGGACTGTCCGGTAGCATCGGACTTTTTTTACGGACAGTCCTGGGTGCTCAGGGCTACTTTCGGACAGTCCGGTATCGGACTCGGATTGCTGACGGTCTGTCCTGGAACATATTTGGAAGTGTCCGAGACGATCGGACTGCTTTTGGAACTGTCCCGGACGAGTTTCGGAATGATTTCGTATTATAACGGGTATGTTTCCCTGATCGAATGCTTGCTGTATGTCAGGAGAACAGAGAAACTTGCTCGCCGTCTGCTTTGTTTTGGTTCCTCCCAGCTACTCTCCGCCACTCTGGGCAAGTCGTCCATTACGAAGCAATAAAACGTCGCACTTCGGCATTGCAAAGCATTACTGCGTGATTGCAAAGCATCTCTTTGTCATTGCATGGCATTACTTTGTAACCAGGTACCGTCAAAGTGTCATATTCCGGACAAATTTGACCGTTTTTCCTGAATATTTCCAAAACCGGTAGGGGTATGAAAGATTCCAGCGGATTCTAGAAACTAGGCGGCAAGATACATATTTATCATCTGGAGAGGAAATTTTCGTTGCGCCAGTTTACCTTCACAAGCCTCTGAAACCACCCGAAGCAGGGGCAAATCCGGACAGTCCCTATTTTTGCTATTAAATGGCAGTAGAACAGGTCGATATGCCAATACTGCACTGCACCTGCGTGCCAGTACACACCAACTTAACCCGTTACTGCGGAACCAGGAGTGATATTGAAATTTTCGCGGCAAAATTGGTCCATTTCAGAGGTTAAGCAACTTCTGCAAAAGTCAGTGCTATTTTAGTAGAAGGACATTGGTTTCGCAAAATACGCCATAAGAATGTGTACAACAATCTTTATCTCACAGGACTTTGTCAAAATTGAAATTTTAGTGCATTTTTAACTAAGATTTGTAAGTGAGAGATCAAGTGAAACACCGCACAATCATAACGCGCAAAAGTCCGCAGGATATTAAAAATTTTCGATTCCAGCGTCGTGACGTTAAAGCTGTGTCTAGTGACCGTGGCTCAGCATTGGTGCTATGCGGCACACGCATTAAAGTACCGCTTCACAGCGTGTGTACTGGTCGGGTCCTATTATTCAAATTGCACTGCTCTGGGCGGCTCTAAAATATGAAACCACTAATTATTTAAATCTCCAGGGCCTCCCGGAAAAGTAGCTATCTAAATTATGAACCTACATTGTGTAATTTGCTGTAAAAATGCAAAAAATTAGTGTCCGGATTTACCCTGCTGCTGGTCCGGAATTAGACACTTTGACGGTACCTAGGCCTGCGGCGCTGACTCCCTATTCGGGCCAAAGGCAGAGTCGTAGGTAGGCATTCGGCCCCAAAACTCACAAATTTTGTTCCTCGGGGTTGATTGTTAACGAGTTACCCTACCGGAGACCATCAAATATCTGACAAAGAAAAATGTTTTGCGGTCATTTTAGTGTAGAAAACTCCCTTTTGGTGCCTTAACGGTTAAAGATAGATCCAAATGGACTAAATTTTTGCCTAAAGGCTCTACTTTGTTGAGTTACCCCTTAGGAAACAGTAAAAAAATATTTTCAAATAAACGTCATTTTGGGGGCTTGTGGTTATTGATTTTTTTTTAAATCCAATTTTTGAGCTAAAATGCTCTTTTTTGAACTTGATCTATGACACAAAACGACCCTGAAAATCACAGGTCGCTAGCTCAATTCGTTCTCGAGTTATCGTTATGACAGACAAACACACAGACAGAAAGACACACACACACACACAGACGCGAAACTTTTTGATCATCACTGGAGTAATGGGCTTCGCTAATCGCTCAGCCAACAAAGCATTCTCTGGAAACCCAAGTGTAGTTACACGGGATCGAAGTACTTCGCAGTTCAGCAAAGCATTGCTGTTTTGGCTGAGCGATCAGCAAAGCCTATTACTCCACTGACGGGAAAAGTTTCATTCCGTTTGTCGGGTGGTCGGTTTGTCTGTCTGTCCGCACGATAACTCGAGAAATAATTGAGAGAGCGATCTGGGAATTTTGCATCATAAAAAGACAGATCGAGTTCGAAGATGAGCATTGTAGCTCAAAAATTGACTTTTAAAAAAATCAAAAACCTCAGGTTGCAAAATATTTTT